GCGAGGACTTGGAGCGGGCGGGAGCCAGCGCCGGGGGTCCCGAGCAGGGCGCGTCTCTTGCCACCTCGGCTGAGAGGACTAGAGGGGGCGCAGGCGCCGAGCTGCGCCTCGGCTTCTTCGACGTGCATTTGAACTCTCGGAACACGTTCGAGGTGAGCCGCCGTCAGAGCACCCGCGACCACCAACCCGCCGCGGGGCTGCCGGAGCCCGCGTCCGCCGCGGAGCAGGGCCCCGCGGGGACCTCGGCCCGGGCTCGACGGAGCGGCAGCTTCACCGACTTCTTCGCCAGGTACAGCGCAGGCTGCGCAGGGGCTGGGGGCGGGTTCGGGCCGAGGCCGGGAGCTGGCTAAGAGCAGCTTGGGGGCCGCCTCCGTGCTGGCTCTCGCTGGCGTCAGGACTTAGCTTTGATTTGTCACCGGAGGAAGAGGAACTGAGTCTGTATTGTGCTGTCTGTAGGAGAAGTTGTGAGCTCTGTAGAGAGCTCATCTTTCTGTTCACCTGTCGGCTATAGGTTCTACCTGCCATTCATACCTGGTTTCTGTGTATTCAGGTCCTGCCAGCGTGGTAGTGCCCTGTCTATGCAGTTTTGCCTCTTTCGGAAAAGCAGACAACCTTCACCGTCCCCAATTAATGAAAAGTTTGTGCTATAAGGATTAGGGTCGGGAGTGAGGGCGGATGGCGGTATGTTTGTACAGGGGTGTGGTTGTGAAAGAGAAAGGGAAGTCATTTTGCAGAGTTGCCTGCGTGGAATCTGAATCCATTCAAGTAGTTTGGGAATTCTTGAAATCAGAAGAGGTTGTGTTTAACTGTTTCTTTCAGTGGCCTTTATTCATATGCAGTTTGGTGTGTAGAATTTGATCCCAGCCTAAAAAATCAAATTACAGTGGCGGTTTATCTAGAAAAATCCCTCTTATATACTTACGCTGGATAGGCCTCCACTTTTTTCAGCAACTTTTTAATTTTTTATGATGTTGTAAATATCATTTGACCTGCTATTCTTGAAATTAAATTATGGTGCAGGACATTGCAGATTTAAAAATGGAGCTTTGTTGGTGTGTCTGGGATAAATAGTCAGAAAATACTCATAGTAATTCACAGTAAAGAGTAAGAGCAATCTCCCTTGAGTCAGATTTTGACATGCTTCAAAAAAATGTAGAGAAGTAACCCCAAATGCTAAAATTCTTCCTTTCAGAGTTCTCTATTATTTTTTGTTCCATTTTCAAGAATCTTGACAAAAACCAGAAATCAACAAATTCTGCAGTTTAAGATATAGAGGATCATACAATTAGTGTGCTTTGTAGACAAACACAGCTTTCTGATTGTAATGAATAGTTCTTATTCTTTTTTCTACTTTATTATCCGTTATTTTTCCTGCTTGTGAAATTTACAAATAAATTATAAAGTTGTTTAAATCAAGATTGGGAAATTCTAATTTTGTGTTAGTCATAGAACAAAATATGTAGACTAGTGAGATATGCATTTGTGCTAGTAGTTGCAAAAATATACTTAAAACTTGTGGCAATATTTTAAAAGCTCTTAAGGCGAGTTAAGTATAAGTTTATGACCTTGTGTGGCCTTTGGGTATTTATTGGTTATGTTTTGATGTCAAGTGTCTGGCAGTTTTAGACCTGGAAAGGGCTTTGGAGAGCAGTAATTCAACCAGTATATGCAAAGTACTTGCTCTGTGCCACACATTGGGAATGGAAATGATTTGGACAATGGTCCTTGAGTTGGATGTAGAGTGTAGGCTAGTGGGGATTAAGTTTGAAGACATACATATGTATGCATTACAATTTATGAGTAACAACAAGGTAAATCTGTTATAAGAGGCTTTCATACTATTAACAGGAGGCAGGAATTATGATATAGTTTAAAATTTTTTCTTTAACTTTTAGGTGAATAGGACTTTAATTAATATAGCTAATTGACACTCCTAGGGCCACACTAATGATGTATGTCAGATGACTGGGTTCGAAGTCAGAAAACATAAGGTTCCTGAAGTTAATTTCTCTAAGCTTGATTTTTTTAAATTGAGATCTGAATGTAAAGATTCTAGGTGTCATTGCTTTCTTTACATAACATTGGTGGGAAAAGGCAGAGTCTGATAATAGGCACAGTTTTTATCTTAGCATTAGCCAAAACCTTAACTGGATTCTGAACACTTTAACGGCAAAGACTATGACATTCATTTCTGAATCTACAATGCCTGATGCTGGTATGAAGAACCCCACTCAAGTGGTGTTGAATTGGCAACTTGCATGGACCCTCCCTCTTTACTGTTCTCTAGGTAGTAATTTGTATCTAATAATTTTGAATAGTCTTTCATCACCCAAGCATAGTAATCAGAAATTTCCCTTGTTTCTTAAGCCTAAGAGGTTTTTTTGGTTCCTATGCACCGTTGTCATTCTCAACTCTAAAGCTCTGGGTGAGGGTTCCCTTTAGGATATCTTGCTCTAGGATGTATTCTTGTTCTTGGATGCAACCCCTACCCTCACTTCATTTTTTGATGAAGAAGCTCACTGTCTAAAGAAGGTAGTTAGTTTAGTTAGCTAATGGTAGAGCTGCGATTAGAAACCAGGATTTCTCGTTTTCAGTCCAGGTTTACATTCCATCACTATTGCTGCTCACCTGTGGCTTCTTTTCCCTCCCACCTGATTATCCTCCATCTTTCCCTTCCCACTTCCTCTCTTTTCGTTCCCTGGGCCAAAAAAAAAAAAAAAATCTATAATAGAAATAAATACTTCTAAAGAATAGCTTCATGTTTCTTTTAACAGAAGTAAAGAGGGAAACATTTTACAGCAATCTATCTATTATTACAAAGTTATGTTCAGTTTGGACACATCATTGACAGAAGCTTCATTGAGTGAGGTAGACATCTAATAAGAGAGAGCAATTTGGCCCAGGTGGGACTGCTCTAGTGATCTCCTGCTTTCCCTTCCTTCCAGATGAGTTGAGTTGTTCTGTCCCTTTTGGGGACAGAACAGGGGCTTGCTTCAGCTTTATATAGGCATCTCTGTGTTTATGGTGATTTGACTGTGGGAACTCTAAAAGTAACATTCCCTTGGCCCTTTCCTGTCTACAAAGGTCTTGAAATGCTAGATGGGTACTACTACCTCCACTGTCACCAACTCAGCAGTGAGGAGGTGAAAACAAAAACTTTTGTTTCCAGGCTAGATTTGTTCCTCAATGATCTTACTTTTTTTTTTTTTAAAGTGGCTTTGAACCATTTTTATGGGCCCTTAAAACAAATTTATGTCTTAATTGTTTTCAAGTAGAATGGATCATATTTTATATGATCCATTGTTTTCAAGTAGAATGGATCATATTTTATATACATTTCAAGTAGAATGGATCATATTTTATATACATCTATGTATATAAAAATATACATAGATGTATATTTTTAAAGGTGTATTTATAGGTGTATTTTTTTAAAAGCCATTTTTACTTTTAGGGCTTGTTTGGAATACACTGGCATAGTTACTGCTATTTAAAAATACACAGGTATCTATCTGTGTCTCCTGGTAGTGTTGGTAATTTTTATAGTCTTCATTGATGAATTAACAAGAATTTGGTGGTCTTAACAGGCATAGCCAAG